CCCCCCCCCCCCCCTTGCACCATTCGGTAGATCAGGCTATGGACATGATATTTCTGGACTAAATCTAAAGCAATTGGATCAAAACTGGATTTTGAGGCTGGCCGGGTTTCTTTTACCGTTTAGGTGGTACGACAAACACATTGAGGAACGTTTTACTGGAGATGATCAAAATGAGATGGCAAGGATTGTTTTATTGACAAATGATGCCGCGAATAGAGAGAAAGCCTTGAATGAAAATTTACAGTCTTGTTCTGGTAAATTACAGTAATTAATATTTGGTAATAATAACGGCTTATTGACCGAGCGTGAGGTCTGTACTGTGAAATATCAGACCGAGGTTTTTTAGTATGGACCGAGCGACGGAGCGAGGTCCATGCAAAAAACAGAAGTCTGATATTTCGCAGTACAGACCGAACAAGCGAGGTCAATAATCGGTTTATTATATGGCTGAACTGAGTCTGTGAGCATATGCTTTTTGCGGGAATTAAATCTGCTATCGTCAGTTTCACTGGGTAACAATATACGGTAGGCATGCATGCTCAATCAAAAAAAATTTGGTTATTTGAAATTTTTATCTGTAATTGGAAATTTAAAAAGCAAAAAAATTTTCTGTTTGCAAAGCAAAAATTTCCGGCCAGATAAACGACATCCGGGACTCCGGTCCAGATACAGAAAATACGGACCACGGTCTGGATATGGGTTTTTACGGACCGCTTGTCAACCAATCAGAATAGAGAATTTTGAAAAGCCATATAATAATTGATTGTACTTTCCAACCGTTGTCGACAATTAATGCACTGCAGTAACTGTGCTGCAATTATGGTTTCTCGCCCAAAGTCTGATTGTCCGCATTTTGACATTCCTCCCCCTTTTTTTCCACCCCTTCCCAATATACTGTGGGATACAGTATATTGAGCTTATGGCAGCCGCTCACGGTGCGTCGGTAAACGTTCACATATCGAGAATTGAATAGAATACATGACGCAATACACCCCTGTCTTGCTGCCGACATGCCGGGAAAGTTGAACTCGAGTCAACTTTCCTGGCTTACCGCCGTGAATCCGACGACGAACCGACGATGAGTGTTCTCATATTTCTTAGGGTGATCGCTAGATAGTATACTTCAAAATAAGGTTTCCGTTTTTATAACGTAGAAAAAACTATCCTAACGCAAAACTAAACCCTAATACTCACCCTAACCCCAACCTAACCCTAACCTAAACCCTAACCTAACCCTAACTTATTTTAAAAATTGATATAAAAACGGAAATCTTATTTTGAAGTATACTATCTAGCAATTGCCTATTTCTTAAACCCACTGCAGGCACAGTCGTCGGCTACGTGAACCAGTGAACTAGGCTGTACTGTAGTTCACTTATAACATGGATGGATTGTAATATAATTCGACTAAATGTCAAAGTCTATGTTGTCATGAGAACAAGAAATGTTAGGAGGTGGTAGACACAATTACATTGCATACCATAACGTTTTTAGTTCAAGATTATGTGAAATCACTCAAAGATAACGGAGAGCTGTTGGACAAGTTGGCATCGGACGATAATAATTCTGCTGGTCAAGTAAGTTACGGTATTAAATCCACCTGATATACAACTGAAAATCTGTAATTTATAATTATTCAAAGAACCACCTTGTATTCTTTTCAGTCCACTGATGGAAAATCGAAACAAATTTATCCCGAACATTTACCGCTGACCAAACTTCAAACTGGCGTCAAGTCGGGAAAATATTTGCAGGTTGGTTCAACTCATTGAACTATAAGTAAACTGGAACGATAACTCCTATGATAAAGGCCTATGTTTGGGCATGGTTTGGGTGAAGCCAAATTTCGGGCGCTCAAGTATAGCCTGTTCGCTGGTTTTCGCTGGTATGTATACGAAAATAAACACACAATTTTCCACGAAATATTTTTACTAATTTAATCCTTAATTTTAACTTATTAAAGTACGTTTCTGGATGTTTGGACTCCATTAACAACTGTATCTAAGATTTTTCTACATAAATTGTATAAAATTGTCTCGGAACTCTTTCTGGAAAGTCTAAAAACTCAGAAAAAACATAAATTTTCGCGCGGTGTTTTGCCGAGTTTCGTTTTGTTTGTTTCATTTTTAGCAGTTAAACAATATTTGCTTATTTTATGTGCCTTAGATAAAAATTGTGTTGTCTAAGTGTGCTCTAGGACAAATATAAATGCCTTGAAAGAAGTAAAAGTGAGAAAATTTTAACGATTTTTAAGCTGTATTTTTCGCATCCATTTTGTAAAAAAGGACTGGGGCTACCTGCAGAAAACACTCGTAACCGGCTTCAAAGATGGCGGCGAACTTATCGTTCCAGTTTACTTATTGTTCAATGCTTCAACTCGACAGAAAACCCAAAACTGTCTTGTTTTATACTGGGTATGTCTAGGAGTTGCGACTTGACTCTTGGTATGACTTGTGACTTGCAAAATAACAACTCTAGAGTACCGGCTGGTAAACTCCTGCAGTGTTTGGTATAAGATCAAACTGGAAGTAGCAGGTTTCTTTTTACTAGTAAATAAGGCGAAATTACCGTATTGCGCAGTACAGTACATTGAGTCAGTACAGTACAGTACAGTACAGTACAGTACAGTACAATACAGTAGAGGCAGAGAACTGCATGATATTCTAGAAAGCAAACGCCGAGACTCGTACACACGTACTAATGTTCTGTTTGTTTTCTACACAGGGAAAATTTTTCGCAAGCAGGTAAGAAAAAAACTGAGTATGATGATACATTTGATAATACATAGTGCTTCGTATTCTCGTAAGTCATATATTACTAGAAATACTAAAAGCCATTCTGTTGTCAAACGGGACTTCCGAAATCCCAATATAAAACAGGCAAAAACTCGAACTAGGGCCCTTCAACAAAACGTATTCTTATTTGGCTGGTTAGTTTTAGTAATATTTGCATTCAGTTAACGCATGGAAAAAAATTACAGCGGTAAAGTGAATTACACTTCAAGTGAGTTAAATTAACGCAAACAAAATTTATCTTTCACGGTAAATTTACGCATACAAAATGGACATATAACATTTTAAAATGCAAACCCCTCGTCCCGAAAGTATTCATCCTTTCTGCTTTATCGTATCAAGCGAGAAAGCTAGGTGTCTAGCGCTTGAAACAGTTGGCTAACCTGACGCTTATATTTTATTTTTGCCGCCGTATTATGGAGTTAGTCAGTGGCTCTGCGGCATGGTCGCGGCGTTTCTCACATTTCCATGTCACAGGTTCAAATAAATGTCAGCCGAGACTATATCTTTAAAATTTTTCACACTTAATTATTACTAGGTTAACATTGGTTTGGGGTTGAGCTTTCTTTATTTTATAACATTAAAAATTGTTCTTTAATTCGAAATACAAATCCTACCGGAAATTTACTTTATATCAAAATACTGCCGGACTTGCAGTTTGTTTTCCAAAATATTATTGTTAAATTTAACAGGCTAACCAAATGAAACGATTCAAAATCTATATACTGTAACTAACAGCGTTAAAATTTTGTTCTGATACTTATCGCTTCACTCTCATTCCGTGCATATATTTCTTCTCAATCCAATCATTAAAAAAAAACAAAATTCTGACTATGATTCTCTGCAGAACATTATCTTGGGAAGTCGCTGATACAATGACGTAATCGCGTACATGGTACTAATGCCCCATCGGAGATTACCACCCTCGCACGTGGCCTTCGGCCTTGCAGGCGGCGAGGGGAATACTGTAGAGCTTTTTATAGCAAAACATTGTAATATTTACTAAACTAAGTTTACTAAATTAGTTTCTTTCTCGTATTGTTTAGAGATAACTACTTGGAAGCAAGTATTTCCGTTTACGACCAAAATGAACAGGTCAGTACTGTACAACTGTTTCTGTTTGTCTCATTGAAAAGAACTCTTAAACTTATATATTAAACTCTATAACCGGCAGGGTGTTAGCCAGAAAAATAGTTTTGTCCATTAAACGTAAATTGAGAAAGTTTTTTTGACCGATCAAAGTCCTTGTGTAGGAATAAATAGTTTTTTCCAACGTGTTTCTCCTTAGATGCAAACAACGGTAGCTTGGTTTTGTACATTTCATTTCCGGTGAATGAACACTGAAAAATGCACCCGATGGTACTTCGTTTTGTATATTTAATTTCCGGTGAATGAACACGGATGCACACCGATTACACTTTGTTTTGTACATTTCATTTCAGTGAATACATACCCAATATGAATGAAACGCGATACATTTTGAGAAAATAGTTAATGGGAAAAAGTAAATAAAACGTTCTTTGATATTATAATATAAAATCAAACGCAATGCACTTTCTCATCAGAAAAAAATGAAAGTCTTCCAGTAGACCCAGTTGGGAAAGCCTTTTAGCTACTTCAATTGGGAAGAGTCCGTCAAACGGACAGTATATGGGCTAGTTACAAATTTGTATAATTTGCTTAGTTCTCGAAATATTTAGACCGAAATTAATGAGCTGTCTGCCATCTTGGACTAATTCTTGACCTCATTAACTATGGTTTTGATGACGTCAGGAGCTGGCTTAACCATATAAAACTACTCTAAAATGACCGAGTAACAATCCAAGATTGTTTGAAATGTTTTTAATCATTTCTAAATTTCAGACAACAACCAGAAACGAAGTTTTGGACCCATATTGATCGCTTACTCTCAGATAAAAAATTAGCGTGACCTAAAAAATTAGCGTGAACGTGCATATATATCCTCACGCTATCCATACATTTATACACTATTGCACTTATATAACATGGGCGTTTGATACAGACTCCTGAAAAATCTATATCGTTTTCCCATATAAGTCTGGATCATGTAAAATTATGGTTTTACTAAACTGAATAATTTTCATTGTTTTTGTTGTGACGTCCCTGCAATTGTATAAAAAACGTAGTTTGCACAAGTCTAATTTTTAGCAACCGTAAAAATGCACCTCGTATAATGCCAAATTATATTTATATGTAATGTAATAGCTGGACAGTAAACGTGTATGCTTTATACTAGCTAATGTGAAACTTCGTTTGTTTTGAAAGATATTTATTCAAGGATTAGTGAACCTAAATCGTGCAGTGAATGAAGATATTGTTTGTGTTGAAGTTCTTCCTGAACAAGACTGGACATGCCCTTCGTCGATCGTCATTGATGAAGAAATTAAGGAAGAGGAAGCGGAAGAAAGCACTACTAAACAGGTTTGGAATTATTTTAAACTTGCATGGTCGACTATACATATCGAGCTGTAGAGCAATAGAGTTACAGAATGAGAAGTATTTAGCCATAACGTCCCTCGAATGTGAGAAAAGACCACGATCTTTATTCAGCACCAACTTCGTACACGACCTGAATTTGCACCGAAAAATGGCCATGTCGCTGAGCACTTTTTATTCTGCTTTACTTGACTTATAATATTTCTAACAAAATACAGTACGGCTCAATTTGTAAGTTCAAAGTGTTATTAATATTCAGTACATGTCAGCATGTACATCTACGCATGCTCAGTTAGGATAGTTCAGTTGTCTTAGGTGTGAATTTGTAGCTGCAACATCTGATCGAGCCTAGGTCTTATGATCTCTCAGACCGTTGCTCTCCCAACAGATATATGAATCTGGATACGAGGTTGGCTCAGCTCTAGGTACCACATGCAGTAGCTAGTGCTGTACAAAATCCAGTAAGCTAATTTTATGAAAACCTGAATAACCGACAATGCATTATAGAATTTAAAATTTAATTGACAAAAACCAAAAGGGTGAAAATTCGTAATGTACATACAATACCGTCAAAGAAAAATCCACTTAATTTTTTTGTTAAACAATACTCAGCGGAATTCAAATTTTAAGATCAGTTGAGTGAAATTACTAAAACGAGAGCTATGGCATTTACATAATTATATTTTTTACAAGAGCTCGTGGCGACTGGATTCTGTAGCTCAGTAGTCAAAGCTTTGCTCCATAATCACAGGGGCTGGTATTTCCGCAACTGTTATTAGTTGTATTATGTTCTGTCATTTATATTCAATGCTATACAAATAGTATTTTCCTTCTGCAGAATAATCAAAGAAACAAGAAAAAACAAAAATCAGGAAGAGTAAGTGTTAGAACAATGGACGTAAATATTTCTGTACTTTAATCATGCAATTCGTTTGCTGATGAATGACAGCAGTGCAACGCCAGGGGCTTTTGTATAATTGGTTGAAACTTTGCCGCGTTGCTTACTTGCTTGGCCGAAAAGTGAGCCTGTGAAGAAAGGAGATTCGGAACACGGCCTGATTTCTTTTTGAATGTGTTGTGTTTGAGCATCTTGATTTGCTGGCATATAACCATTTTTCTTTACTTTATTGAAAGGTTGTTGGAATTATTAGAAGAAATTGGAGACCATATTGTGGTGTCTTATCTCCATCTCCCAATCCCCAGGTAAAATATGAGCTATCACTGCATTGTAATTAACGAAATTTTGCCGAAATTTTCACCTCAAAATTCGGAATAGTTGGAATTATTGGACATTTCCGTCGGAATCCGAGATAGTTCCGATGTGTAAAGTTACGCAAAAGTTGTATTTTTATTCATTTTTTAGTTTCGGGACGTTCTCATACCTTTCTGGCCTTCCTAATAATGCAATAGATTAAAAAAAATGATTAGTAGAAAAAACGAGCCCATGCAAAAACCCCAATAAAACGCTCAAAAATCGAATTACTATATTCACTCGGCCTAAGTCTCTTTTCTGTTAACCGCGCGAATTTTAGCGCATGCTCGCACAAAATCCCCACCTGTTAGCTCTGTGTAAAAGCCAAAGTTAATGTGCATGTGAAAGAATTTTTATTCTCCTTTTTGAAATTCGCCTTAGTAAGACGAGTTGAATGTGTATACACACAACCAAGAGATATTATGCTCTTAACACGAGAGATATTATGCTCTTAACACGGCTTTCTTAAAACATAACTGCGAGGAAAGAGTCTGTGTCTGAATAAGCCTTGTGACATCAAATCGGGAAAGGAAGTAATTGGAACTCTTGTAGTCTTGTTATTCCGTGCCATGATGGAGGAGCGCTAGAACATCCGAATACATCACAACACGGAAGCATTTTCCTCAAAACCAACGCCATTTCCTCTGTTCCCGATTTGACATCACAAGCCTTATTACTGTAAGTAAGACGCAGACTGTTTTCTCCGGGCCATGTTTTGAGAAACCACGGTCTCTTAACATGATAAGAGACCAATATCTCCGAAAATAGTTATCGGATGGACGATTGCAACGCATCATCAATTCGTCTCATTGAAGGCCCACACACAGAAAGAGAATTTTGTGAAATGTGATTGGCCGACACAAATTTCCCGTCGGAAAAAAATTTTGAAGTTGAAAATTTTCAACTTTTAACAATGGCCTTGTTTTCATCTGGTTATTTCCTCATCTGGTTATTTCCTCGGTCATAAGGATAGGCCTTGTGATTGAGCTCGAGATGAAAGAGAAACATAGACGAAACATGGACGTTCACGTGGCCTGCCTTGCTAAAACAGGCGAACATGGAAACGAGGTCATTTGAACAAACGTCATGCAACAAACAACGGTAAAGTATATTATCAGACTATTTATAAATTTACATTTTTTATGAATTCCAGGCAACCAGACATCTTTTTGTTGCTGCTGAGAAAAGAATACCGAGAATCCGAATTGAAACAAGACAAGCGGAAATTTTAAAGGGACAGAAGATCATTGTCAGTATTGATTCATGGCCAAGAAGTTCGAAATATCCAGTTGTAAGTAGGTGTAAATTTTAGACTGTATGTTCACAGTACGCCGAAGCTGTTTGAAAACGGCGCAAAAAGTCACAATTAGCCGTCGCGTTCACACTATACGCCGAAGCGAAATTTTTTTTCAAACGTCACTTTTGGCGTAATAATTTGAGCACGGTTTCAAAACAGAGCGAGATGAAAACGGAGAATTGCGGTTTCGTGTTACGCCGTTACTTTTTTGTACCGTTTGCAAACCAAGTATCTCACGTCTCAAAACAGTAAATTCGAATGCTTTTCGTTTAAATTTCTTTGCTCTATTTGAAATATTTTGGGTTCACATGAGTACTAATTTAATTTGTGAACAAACTGTACCGACGTAGTGTCAACACACGTAAATTCTGCCGGCATTATTTCGCTCCGGTGTATAGTTTGTTCATTCGTGTTTTTCGCCTGGAAATAATGTTTAGAGCTAGGACAACTAAATAGTTGACAGCTTAAAATATAAACAGAACATCTCCTGACGTTTCTGGCGTTTCACTTCGTATACATGAAGGTTTCGAATTTTCTTTAACTTTTACATGCAAGACTTTTCGTTGCCAAACTCGTCTTGTTTAGTTCACTTATTGCATTTTAAGATTTAGTTCGTATATTGCATTTGAACTTTTTCCCGAGTCTGTTTTGTTATCTTTTGAAATTGTCCGCGCCGGCCGTGGTTTTTGTGAACGGATAGATAGCGTTATTTTGCTCCGGAACATAAAAGAGATTGAAAATTTTGTATTTAAATTTGTTCCTTTGGGTGTAGCCTGCAGGCGAACTGCCCTGGCTGTATCAACCTAAAGGTTTTTAAAATACCAATGTATGTATATAATAGGCTCATGGTTAGATCTAACCGGGCTGGAATCATGGTTAGGCACATGGTTAAATCTAAAATGGTCTGTACAAAAATCCTTCAACTGTTAGGGGCTGATTATATGGAGAGTTTTCAGCCCTGTAGTATCCAGCCCAATTAATATAAGTTAATATTATACTGTACACTAATGTTTACTAACTTCCGCTTTGTAATTTTATAATGTATTAATTCTCATAATATGCAAGTTATACAACACACCAAACCGGGCGGCTGTGCTCTTGTGTTTATCCAATATTTACCGCGATACACTACAAGCCCGAGCTGAGTTTAAATTTCAGTTCAAACTGGGGTGAAATCTCAGCCCGGGCTGAAACGATCAAGTCTCAAAAAAGAGCTATTCCGCTTTTTCGAAGAATTTAAAATGTTGTTCATGTCTATAAATTTGACTTCAGCGACACTGTGCCGGTTGAATTTTAAAATAGAACACACAGAAATAAAGCCACTTAAACGCTGGGGTTTTTTTCAACTCGGGCTGAATTTTCCATCGATTTTCAGCCCGGTCAACTGAGCTGAAATTTTCAGGGTATAGCTTCAACCGGGCTGGAATTTCAGCTCGGGTTGAAACTGCTAAAATTTCTGTGCTCTGTTTCAATAGGATTTTGTACTTAGGCCGGGCTGAAATGTTAACCCGGGAAACCGGGCTCAAGAAAACTCTCCATGCATGCTTGTATAATCAGCCCTTTAGTTCTATCGAGCGAGATGCCCAAAAATCTCGATAAATCAATATTAAAGGCACAGTTCAGCATTTTGAACGATTTCAGCCCTTTTAATTGAAAAAACTAACTAGGAAAATCAAGTATGCTTAATTCAAGATCAGTAAACTCAATAAAACATTAAGTTTGCTGATCTTGAATTATGCTTAATTGATTTTCCTGTAAAAGTTTTTTCAATAAAAAGGGCTGAAATACGCTTTAAAAGCCATTAATGTTGCTTTTACATACTTTTAATTTACAGTAATATCTTGTACTAATATTTTCACATAAAAAAATTTTCACTTTACTTTCTACGCACGGTTGTTGAGCACGCGAAGAAATTCGCTTGCGTGTCGCTTGCGTGCGTCGCACGCGCTGGCGTGCGCTAACGCTTGCTGACGTTATCCTCGTTTGAATTTTAACGACAATTCGTGGATTTGACACATTTTTCGCTTTGCTATGCGAAAATTGGTTGAAATTATTTGAACTAACTTGCTGTTCACTAAAGGTTTACTCTACAATGGCAATCTAACTTTGAAGAAGTATATTTTGGGTGGATTTAAAACTTAATATACGTATAATCTTTGGAAGTGTAATGATGTTTTTACCTCGAAACAATATTCTGTCTTGGCGTTCTAAAGTATGTGCGATTTCGAATGATGACAGCTACGTAGCCGGTGAACTAAGACAGCATTATGATATGAACGAACAACGTACAGTTTCAAGTGATAATCTACCTGATAGCAGTTCTGTTCAAGATCTTGCATCTTTATTTTCGAAGCTTTCGTTGTATGATACCGTAGAAAACGCACAAGATGAAAGCAATTCAGTTATTATTGGTTTTAAAGATAAACGTACAAACCAGGACTATTTTCCTTCCTCGTGGCACTTTTCCAACACCCAAGAACCGAGCGTTCGACATGGAAACAATCAGAACTTTTCAAACTATTTTGCATTACCTTTTCAACCGCTGTTTTCTAGTATTCTGCCAGGCCACCGTGGAAGCGTTGTTGTGTATAAAAGTACGAACATTAGAACTGAATGCATTGAAACTATTTTGGGGGAAAGGAGTGATTTTCATCGCCAGGATTACGGAAATTATTGTCTACCAACAACACAAGCCGTTAGTACTCCACAATGGTCTTCTTTTGCCACAAACCACTCGTTCATTGATCCTTTCAGCTCTTTCTATCGATATCGCTCACGCTTTTCTTCATTCCTGGAAACTTTACTCATACGAGCGGGTCGTTTGAAGGAGAATTTCGATCATTCCGTGAGACAAAACGTTGGTACTTATGATAGTCTAAGCGAAAGAGGAGAATGTACTGCCGAAATGCAACAGAAACATAGTGAATATCCGTTGTTGGTGCGTCGTATTCCATCAGAGCAACAAGAGACCTATCCCGAAGAACAAATGACTTGCACTGAACATTCACAGACGGTGGTCGAAGAAGTTAATGTTTTATCGGCAGAATATGACGAATATGGGGCAGAAATAGGAAAGCAAGAAACTTATATTGAAGAACAGAGAAGTTTAGACGAAGTACAAGAGTTATTGTGTCTAGAACAGGGGAATGAAGAATTGAATTTTGCGATGGAACAAGAGAGAGTAACTCCAGAAGATGAGTTTTATCCGGATGAAGAACTGCCTTTAGTCAGATTTCTAGAAAACGAGACTTTAATGCCGGAACAAGACATATATCTGGAAGAAGAGCTAACATTAGTCGAAGAATTACGAGGATGTTTAACCCCAGAACAAGGCGTTGATTGTGAAGAAGAGTTGACTTTAGTCGCAGAACAAGAAAGTCTAACTCAAGCACAAGAAACATATACGGATGAAGAGCTGAATTTGGTTGAAAATCTAGAAAAAGACTCCTTAACTGCAGAACAAGGGATTTATCAGGAAGAACTTACTTTAGGCGAAGAACGAGACGATTGTATTGAAGAAAAACATACTTCAAACAAAGACCGAGATGGTGATGCTGAAGAGCAATGGAATTGTATCAGAGATATTGACAATGTTCTCGCAGACATTGAGGCCCATTTACGTGAGGTTTATGGTAGAGAAGAAGATACTTGTATCGATGGACAGGAGACTTATCCCGATGGACAGGAGACTTATCTCGAAGGACCAGATATTTATCTCGAAGGACAAGAAACTTATCTTGAAGGACAGGAGACTTATCTCGAAGGACAGGAGACTTATCTCGAAGGACATGAGACTTATTTGGAAGAGCAAGGGACAAATTTCGAGCAGGAAGGAATGTATCTCCAAGGGAACGAGACTTATTTCGAAGGACTAGGTGAAGAGACTTTTCAGATAGTTAGAAACGTATCTCCAAGAGCTAGAGACTTACTTCAAAGAGCTAGAAACTTATCTCGACACTAACAATGAGACGTTAAATTTAAGACAATCTGTACATAATCTAGGAATTTAGATCTGGAGAGAGTTATTTCTTTTTTGTTATGACGAATTGTTTAATGAATAATATGGTTATGTTTTGTCAATTTATTTTGAGAAAATGTACTGTTTATTCAGATACAAAGTAGGTTTTGTAGTTGACGCCATCTTGGTTAGAGCTAAATGAGGTTATAGATTCATGTCTCCCTGTTTATGGTGCCTAAACATAACCTAGTCTCTAATCCTAACCCATAAACAGCGACGAGACATGGATCTATCTGTGCATGTGCAATGTGACAGTCGGCCATTGGCCGTTAAAAGCATTTGAGCAAGAGAACGAATAAGAGACGATACACTTGACAATGTTTACCCATCTGCACATTATCTTGCGCATACTGAGTTTGGGGTCAGCGGTGATTGTTTATGAATGCTGACCCCCTAATCCTTACCCTGACCCTGTATAAGATAGTTGCACTGTGCAGACGGGCAAAAAATGTCGAGTACGTCTTCGTACTTCGTTGTCTTGCTCAAACTCTATTTTCGTAGCAAAACGCTGATATCGCCATCTAAGTACTGCTCTGTACGTACATTATGACGGGACATTTTGCCGCTATAATTTGAATAATTTCCTTCATTCTTGCAAAACCAAAATGCAATCTCTTACTAATCTGATACGCATGAAAAGGTGTTTTTTAAAGATTTTTTAGACTTTCTCAAAGTCCGTATTGGTTGTCTCTACCCCTGCATGAGAGATGCAAGACTTTTTAAACTTACAGCACGCCAAGTTTTCTGACCGAAAAATTGTTGGCGTGCGATCATGCCCGACCAATACGTCGGAACAAATTTTGTCAAACCAAATGCATGTTTTAAAAAGATACAAATGTAGATTTCGGCTACCTATAATTTGACATTATAGGGCTGTTCCTACTTCCAGATTCTGCCTGAATGGTAGGAATGAATTAGTTATGCCTTTGCGTCCTATTGTTCCAACCTGCAAGCACCTGCCTGCATTTGAGGGACTGTGGAAGAGATTGCTGATGAATTGGTTGAGCTTACATATTGCAGGCTGTCCAAAATTACTTGCGGCAGAAACCAAATTGGGTTACCGCGAAATCAGCTTTGCGGCCATGGTTGGTAGGTTTGCTGAATAATTAGGCCAAACACCGTCACACTAGGCCTTTGTTTTCTTTGTCTTGGCCTTTTGTTTTCTAAACGGCACTAATGATGATTTAGGCTGGATCGATATCGCAAATACCGAATACCGATATACCGCCATCAGAATACCGGTAAATACCGGTATTCCGGTATTTTTAACGAGTTTTTTTTTTAAGCCAAACTGAAGTGCTGATCGTCAAGAAAAATCAAGTTTTGACAAAATATTAATGTGGCACATTCTGTTATTAGTGCAAATGTCACAAGATTCGCATTATCAAGCTATGTTAACAATTAACAGCACTAAGCGGCAATTATTTAATGTCTTTAATAGTAGGCCGTCGATTGGGCGTCGAAGTGTTGAATCATTCAGAAAAATATTCGTTTTGTATATAAATTCAGATAGTGTTTCAGTAAGCTGCTAATAGTTATAAACATAAAAAACGTTGCATTTTTAAAACTAACACATAAACAAGTTAGCAAGCATGTAAAAAAAACTTGAAAAGCCAGAAAAGGTTTTCGCTGCTTCGCAAATGGTAGTACTTCCACCTTCCAAAATCAAAGTTTTCTTTTTTGTCGAAATTTTCCTTTAAAAATTTCGCCATTTTTATATTTCCGATTAAGGCGATTTAATAAACAAGACGTCTGGTATTGCTAAATCAAAGCCGCTAGAACTGTAAGAACAAAATCATGCATCTGCGAGTATTAACTTTGCTTTCTAAACGTGATTGTAAGCAAGTTTGACTTGAAAGAGCGTTTCATTTCGGTATTAGGCAGCAAAATACCGAAATGTCGGTATATCGGTATTTTTAAATTGTCAATACCGCCAAACCGGTATCTAAACAAATACCGGTATATCGGATATATCCGGTATATCGATCCAGCCTATGATGATTTGGCCTAATTATTCATCTAACCTACCAACCCTGTTTGCGGTAACCTGCAGGATTTACCAAAACAAAAACGTGTCAGAAGAACTTAGAATTTATTTTATATGTCCAAATGAATCGTAAAGTAACCCAATTAGATCACAGAACGCGTAAAGAAAATTTAAATATTAACAGTTAATTAACACAGTTATTAATTATAGACTTAAGAGGTTAAGGACTTACATCACTTTAGGGAAACCAAATTAGGTTACTGCAAAACCAAGTTTGCGGTAACGCGGCGATATACGTAACCCAGCTTTGGTTACCACAATTTTGGACTGTCTGTATTGTCTACGAGTTATTGTATACCCCAGTTAGTAGGCTGCTATCCTCTATGTAATCACATTACGCATACTCTTATGCCATTCTGCCCAGTACTTTTGATTGAATATAAGGATTAATGTATTTCTCAGTTTAGCATATCGTCGCAACATTTTTAGGCTGAGTAATAAGAGGAGAAGGGTTCATTCATGTAGCATTGTACATTAAGATAAATTTTCACTCTAGACTTTACTTGCAGAATTTGCAGCTCAAAGTTCCACGCACTGAAAACGTGTCCTTTATTTTCAGGGTCATTTTGTTAAAAAGCTTGGTTCTATTGGGGACAAGGAGACAGAAAATGAAGTTTTACTTTTGGAACATGAAATTCCTCACTTACCATTCTCGACAGTAGTTTTAAATGATCTTCCCAAGGAAACCTGGTTCATTAGTGACGAGGTAATATGGCTATTTTGTAAATAAACTATGTTTAGGGGAATTATCTATATTCATCGGAAAATACTACTTTCACTTACTATGATATACATTCAATTTGCGTTTTCTACCAAATATTTCCATAGTATAAAAATTGTTCAATATATGCATGACGCAATTGATCTCCAGGAAAATAGTATTCTCTTTCGCAGTAATACATGCAGTAAGTGTTCAACATTGTTATCCAACCCCGGAATAAACGATCATAACCGTATAGGGATAACATGCAGCCTTATTCTTGTGAGGGCATGACAAACGATGATAGGGCCGATCGTTCAAAGGTGGATTTGCGCTAACCCTGGGTTAAAATGGAACCTGCTGTTTTAGTTTATGTATTTCTGTTCGTCTGTTTATTTCAAAACTTCAGAGAAGAAAATTCCTACTGATCAAGACAAAATTTCTAAAGAAACATTTCCAAATTTATAAACAAGCTGTTAGGAAGTTTGCTTGCATGCAGTTGTAGGTTAGCCTAGGATTGGGCAAGAGTTAAGCTATTCGGCTTTCGAACACCCGGCCCCTGGCGAATAAAGGCCAGGTCAAACGATGATAAGAGTTGACGAGAGTTGCATTTCTCGCCAACTTTCATCAACTCTGATCAAGTTCTTAATTGAACTGGTTCAAATTTTGATGAGAGTTCACGAGGGTTTTTGGTCTTTTGACTGGTAATGTCTAGTGAACCCTTAATCTCCTTTCACCGGAGCATGAGCGTTAAGAGTTTTTTTTCTTGCAAACTCTCGCTCCTGAACTCTCTACCTTGTTTGACCAGGGTTTAAGAATCGTATATGATTAATGCATGGTATATCGTGCATGTAGGTAGCAAAAATAAGATTGAAAGTGACCTCTTCCTTTTTAAGGGTTTTAAAATGTTTTCTTTTTGTGAATTATAGGAGATAAAGCTTCGTCGCGACCTTCGAGATTTATCAATCTGCAGTGTTGATCCGCCTGGCTGTACTGATATAGATGACGCTTTGCATTGGAGGCCATTACCAAATGGAAATTTTGAGGTAGAATACTGTATATTCATTAAGAAATAGAAATCATTTTCTATACAGTTTTGTAATATAACATTATTTATAGACTGTTGCGGAATTTTGAGGTAAGCGAAATTATATATATATATATATATATATATATATATATATATATATATATATATATATATATATATATA